GAAAAAATTTAACAAGTATTACAATTTTATATACTATAAATAATATAAATTGCATTAGAGAATTCTCAATATAATAATTTTCTAATAAAAACTATTGGTCTATCAAATTTGAAATTACATGATATAAAATATTGACCAATAAAATTTTTTTATGAGATTTTATTAAAATTTGATTATAAAATAAAAAAATAATGGCTTTATTATATTTGAAAAAAGAAAATATATTTTAATATTTGATAATTATATAGTTTTATTGATTAAATATATAAATATATTATCAACTAATAATAAAATATTGTGAGTTTATCATTTTATTAATTGATTAAATTTATTAAAATAATTATTTTATATTGATACTTGCATTCTTATTAAATAATATGCATTTCTACATTTATATTTAGATTTGAAAAATATATATTAACTATTTAGTCTTTTAGTATTCTAGAAATTTGTAGTTTTATATATTATATTTTTTTTAATAAACTCTTCTTAATTATATAAAGGATTATCTTTTTTTTTTACTTACAAATTCTTTTTTTTTTGCATAAATTATAAACTTTTCTTTTACTAGCTTTTTTTATTTTTTTCTTTAATTTTTCTATTGGATAGTATTTTTAAAGAATAATGTATCATAATAATAAGTATTTATTATTAAAAAAAAGGAAATAAGCTAATTACAATTATCTCTTATTATAACAAACTTTATATCCTAGACCTCTACTTTGCTATAAAGCTATAGTGAAGATTTTAAGAGATTTGATTGGTTAATTTGCTATAACAAGAGTATTTTTATTATATTTTTTCAAAAATTCATCATATCAAGAGTTCACTATATCAAGAGTTGACTGTATATATATTTAAAAATGTTTTACCAATACAAATCTAATAATTTTATGTAATATTTACTATAATAAGAATAAATTTATAATATTTAAAATTTTAAAAAGTTTATTATATTTAATATTAAAATTTTATTAGTAAGTTTATTATAATAAATAAGATTTATTAGTAAGTGAATCAAAAAAATAAAAAAAGTTTGCTATAAGCTAAATTTATTATAATAAGCTTTACTATAATAAGTGTTAACTTATATAAAGATAAATCTAATTGTAATAATTGTTAGATATAACAACTTAATAAGAGCTAATAAATATCATTTTTTTGTTAAATATTATTAGTTACTATAAAGTTATTACATGTAAAAGTTATTATAAATATATATATATAAATATCTTATTTTAATCAAATAAAAATGTTTTAAACTAAAAAATTATACTATTTGTACTTTTAAATTATAAATTTCTTAATAAAAATTACATTTTAATTTTTTTAATAATTTTTAGATTAATACAACCTTAATTTTTGAATTATTATTTCATTATTTTCTTTAGGTTTTTTATGCTACTAAAATTTTGATTCTCTAAACAGTATTTTTGTACTTATTTTGTAGAAATTTAAAAAGTTATTTAAAAGTTATTTGTTTAATAAACATATTTATAACAAATATTTTAATCAAAATAATTTAATATTAAGAAGAAAAAAAAACGGAATGCAAATTCTAATATATTTGATAAGAATTAATCTATTACTAAAGTGATACATAACTTTATATCAACTTGTCTTAAAAAGTAATATAGTAAAATATAAAAATTTATGCTAGAAACTAAGTAAAATATGAAATTACTATAACGTTTAATCAATCTTCATAAAATAAACTAATTTCAAGCTCCCTAAATAATTCAAATATTGTTGGACGTTTTGAAGGATCAGGGTCTAAGCATTGGTTCATTAATTCAATATAAATATCCAAAATTTTTTCCGTTGCTGAATGATGATATGCAAGCTCCTAAAGTCCGCATGATCATTCTAACGCTATAGATGTCGCTAGCTTTAGTTGGTGGAAAGTCGTATAAAATTTCAGGAGCTACAAACAAAGTGCTCAAAATTTTTCGATTGGATTCTTTTCAACTGAGTCATGCATACCTATGTCCGCAATGCTTGTATCTACCAATCCTATATTATTTAAACTAACTTTATTGATTAATATATTTCCGCTATGGATATTTCCATGAATTAGTTCATTTTCATGGAGTATTTCGAGACCTCCAGTTCTATCCCAAAGCATTTCAACAATGGTCTCGAATCTAAGAATCCCAAATGTTTTACTCAAATATGAGTATAAGTTTTGTTCATCATAATATTTCATAACGACCATAAAATTATCTGAGTCTTTGGTTATGCCAAAGTAAGTTCGATGTTTATACACCTAATTTAAAATCGTATGAATAAAAGTTATTAATAAATATTTAACCAATAGCAATAATGATTAAACATCGTTTACAATTTGTGATTTACTTGATTTAAATATTCTTCACTAATATTAAGTGAAGTATCAAGTCTTTTAAGCGCAACATGTGTTGACCCGTCATGTATACAATGTTCAGCATCTTCATCCCAAGTCTGTCGAGGACCTTCCATCCACATTGCTGAATAAATTGTACTATATGAAGTATTTTTTATATATTCGACTGATTCAAACTGATCAAAATCAATATATTCTAAGTAAGACCCTCTTTCGGTTGCATTTAGCTGAGTATTTTTGATAAAATCATCAATATTAGGATTTCCGCTGGTCCAATTTTTAAAATTTTCTTTAAAGGCATCAGACTCACAATTTTCACACCATCCTTCAATATTTATTTCCCTTCCACAAACAAAACATTCAGAAGGGAATAAATTCATAATAAAAGGATCGTTTTGTTGAAAAGTTTGTTCAGGCATTTGATGTTAAAAAGGTTATAAAATTTTTTCATAAAAAAGGGATGGGCTGATTTTACTTCTTTATATACGAAAATAAATCTAATTCGGATTTTAATGCGTTCTTTGTGAAAAAAATAAAACTATAAACATTCCATGTTTGCAAAAAAATACCTTTTTAATTAAAACATTAGACCATTCGAATTAGGAAAATTACCCGCTACATTTATCTGATTTAATTACTGCAAATTTAGATAAACAAAATAGTTGATGATTTATTGATTTTCCAAATATATCTAAAGTTTGTGAATAGAACAAAGGAAATGTTTTAAATTGGTACGCAAAGATCAATTTAAATGCCGAACTGCCGATCGATCTTAAATAAAGTCATGTATCATAAGTGAAATATACAAAAATCAGTATTAAATTAGTTTCTATATCAAAGACCAAAGTTACAAAAAGTTTCATATTTAATTTAAAAAATCTTTGTCAAATGTAATTTATTTTATATTTTTAGGAATTATTTTAAATGCAGAATAGAAAAAAAAATTAACCCGCCAAAAAATCATCATTTTGTAGATCATTTCTAAAAACAGATGATCAATTAAATCGAAAAATTTTCCAAATGGGGGATTTGAATATGTAAATTTTAATAGAGTTTATTATAAAAAGCTATTTAAAAAATATTGAAAGGAGCTGAGATAAGAGGACGCAAAGTGATATAAATTAAGAATTGAATTATCATGGATACTAGGTTGATTTGATTTGATCATCAAAATTATGTCATTTTTAATATTGTCATAGCATCACTGATTGCGAAGATAAGGTTCCAGATTGTTTAATTGTTTCGTTTGATCATATATATCATATAAAATTTCCTTTTCAACAGTTTAAATTTGTATTTTTTTTGCGTCAACCATAACAATCTCTTTGCAGGCATTATCGGAACCCTCTCCATCTTGGTCAAAACTTGATACTAAATCTAAAGGGGGACACGAACTTAAATTTATAAATTAAAAAAGATAAAAGTCGCACACACCAATCTTTTGCAAATGATAGATCACTTTTCATGATCGATAACCCTACCAAGTTTTCTTTCTATAAAATTATGATCATTAAACACGTCAAATATACTATACATTTTGTATATTGAGGATGTGCACATTAATATAAATCGTTTCAATAAGGTTCATATACATCATCTAGATTGGGCTCTCTTAATGCTTTTATTTTGTGATATGGTATAACGCACGAATTTTATTAATTTATTTTTTTCGTCAAGACTATTCACAAACTGACAGATAGGAGGTAAATATATCGTATATATCGTATTTTATCAGCATAAATAAATGAATTAATGAATTATTATTTATCTAAAGGATAATAAATAATGAAAGTTTTTTTTTTTTTTCTTACGATAAAATAAATATTATATGAGAGCGTTGCCAGTAAAATCAAGTTGAGATATAGTAAAAATATGATCCATAACGTGATATTACTGGCAACGTTTCCATATTAATGATAAAAAATTTTCAGGATTTTGTTTCAGGATTTTGTATAGTAATAAGAAGATATTCCTTATCTTTAAAGTAAAATTTTAAAAATGAAAAATATTTTAACAATTAAAATATGTTATTTGTCAGAATAATTTAATTTTGGATATAAATTTCTTTACCTGGTGCAATTAAAATTTCGTGTTTCTTAGTTCTAACCCGCAAGAAAGTTAAGTCGTTCTAAATTAAGCAAATTTAATTATATATATATATATAATTATAATCTGAAATACAAAAATGACCATTTTTAAAAAACTCACGGTATCATCCATTTCTTTAATACAAAAGATTGTTTGTTCTACTAATTTGGTGATTAAATCCGAATATTTTTTATTCAACGTAGGTTCTAAAGTTGATTTAATAATTTGTCCGTCTTCATTAACGATCAATACACCTTGTACGTGTTTGTTTGCTGTAAGACGTTTAATGTTTTCTTCAACTTCAGACTACAAATCAAAGCAAGTCAATATGAAATATTACGGATCAAAAACTTCAGGAGAAAAAAAAAAAATACCATAATATTTAAAAAAAAATTGTGTAAAAAAAAAAAGTGTGTGGGGGGTTTATTTATAACGTTTATCGTTTATATACATGTCACATTTTTTCATGTGAATAATTTGGGTATAGCAAACTAATCAGGTGATGATTATCATAAACTGATGAAAAAGTTCATTCAATTATTTTTTTAAAATGGAAAAGTCTACTTCATTAAATGGTAATAATGAGAAAAGTAAGGACGAGATATTAGCAGCTTTGAAAACTGCTACAACTTCAGTATTTCTTCGCTCAACTCCAATGCCAGAAAATGCTATGACAGTAAAAGGACCTGATTTTAATCAACAACTATCTTTACATGAATTACTTGATGGTTATTCTCGAATAGGGTTTCAAGCAACTAGTGTCGGAAAAGCTATTGAACTTATAAACAAAATGGTAAATATATATAAATACATATATTAATAACGAATTTTCGATTACTTAATAAAAAAAACTCGTTTTAAATATTAACTGGCGTATTATTTGTAGCGTAAATGGAGATTATCACATGAACCAATATTGCCAGATGAAATAGAAGAATACAAAGAACCATTAAAAAGATGTACAACGAAATGTAAAATATTTTTAGGATATACATCAAATCTTGTATCATCAGGATTACGAGAAATCATTAGATATTTAGTACAACATTCATTGGTTGATGTTATAGTAACAACAGCCGGTGGCGTAGAAGAAGATTTTATTAAATGTTTAGGACAAACTTATTTAGCAGATTTCCAATTAAATGGTTCGGAATTAAGAAAAAATGGTATGAATAGGATTGGTAATTTAGTTGTGCCTAATGATAACTATTGTAAATTCGAAGACTGGGTTTTGCCTATATTAGATAAGTTATTAGAAGAACAAAGAAGCGAGGTTAGTCGTAATTTTTTTATCATGTACGTAATTAATTAATTTATTTATTTATTTTTTATTAAGGGAATTATATGGTCTCCATCAAAAGTTATTAATAGATTAGGTAAAGAAATAAATAATCCTGATTCAATATATTATTGGGCATATAAGGTGATTATAATATTTAGAGACATCCATCTTTATTTCAATGAAATTAATTAATATTCTTTCTTTTTTAAAAAAAAAAAAAAAAAAAAAAAAAAAAAAAAAAGAATAATATTCCAGTATATTGTCCTGCTCTCACTGATGGTTCATTGGGTGATTTGATTTATTTTCATACTTTTAAAAATCCCGGGTTGGTTATTGATATAGTATCTGATATAAGATCAATAAATCAACAAGCTGTATTTGCAAAAAAAACTGGTGTCATAATTTTAGGTGGAGGATTAGTTAAACATCATATATGTAATGCCAACCTCATGGTGATTATTTGTTTAATTCTTTAGAATTGAATTTGATGTTAACATGTTTTTAACGTGTTTTTTGTTCTTTATTTTTTATTTTTTTTCCTGCAGAGGAACGGAGCTGATTATGCAGTTTATATAAATACAGGACAAGAGTTTGATGGAAGTGATTCAGGTGCTAGACCTGACGAAGCTGTTAGTTGGGGAAAAATCAGAACTGACGCCGAACATGTTAAAGTTTATGCAGATGCCACAATTGTTTTTCCACTTATTGTCTCCGAAACTTTCGTCAAGGAAGTTCTGGATTAATATAAAAATTAGAGAATAAGATTAATAGTTAACGTGATTTCAAATAAATTTTTATAAATCACTAGTCACGTGATAGTTCCAGAATAATTCTTAAAATGTGCCCTTAAAAAATAAGTGAGATCGTGTGAAATGAGTAACTTCCAACACTCACGTGAACATAGATGATTGTCGCTTGTGTCACACCCATTTTTACTATTGACCCGGGTCTCTGTGTTTCGGGCAAAAAATCACGTGGGTGGTTGTTAGTTCGTGCCTGCGGATTGATAGTGATAATTAAGATTTTTTTTTTTTTTTTGTGAAATTTACCTAACTTTCTATTTTCTTACAATGTCGTTAGATACGCAATTGGAAGCTGCAACTTCTGAATATCAAAGGCTTCAAAAAGGTGAGTAAACATTATTATTTATTTTTTGTAATTTAACCCAACTAATATTAATTTATCAAATATAAAAGAACTTTCAGACGCTATTGAAGCTAGACAACGTCTGGATTCTCAATTTCAAGAAAATGAAGTTGTTCAAAAGGTAATTTAGACACCAATTCAATTCTTTTAGTCATTTTATTACCTATTCAATTAATTTAATTAAAATTAGGAATTTAAATTGCTAAAAGATGATGCGAATATTTTTAAGTTAATTGGACCTGTATTAGTAAAACAGGATAAAAGTGAAGCTACAACAAATGTTAATAAACGATTAGATTACATTAGATCAGAAATGTGAGTAATAACAATATTTTGTTGCCTTTTTTAAGCTTTGTAATTTTTATAAACTAATTATTTTATAAGCAAACGTGTCGAAACACAACTTGCGGATTTGAGCGAAAAATCAGAGAAAAAGAAATTTGAAGTATGTAAAATAAAGTTTATTTTTTTTAAAAAAATAATAAATTATTTAATATTTTATATAATTTATATATTATAATAGGTCGTTAACCTTCAAAGAAGTTATCAAGCACAAGTTCAACAAGTTTCAGCAAGTAGATAATTATTAAGTTATGACATTTCTAATTTATTAAGACAATCAAATAAATCTTTTCCTTCTTGCACATTAATGATTTCATTGACCAAATATTTAATGATTACATCGGTTCTATAATCCATCTTTATCCGTTCACTTTTCGATATATTTTGTATGGTATTTCTTATTACATCCTCCCATAAATCTTTACTAATAATGATTCCTTGGTTAATAATAAGTTGAAATAACGCTGATCCAAATAATTTAAAGTCATATTTAGATTGTATAGAAGCAAATAAGTACTTTACACTAATATGATTTGGTCGAAGTCCAATCGAAGTATGTTGAATAAATTCCGCACAACTTAGCGGACCATATTTACAATCTGATATCGCTCTCATAAAAATATTAAATAATTTTACATCCATGGGGACATGTTTCGTCCTAAACATAAATATCTTTCCCAAAGGATTATGATTCTTGTCTAACAACAATCTATTGTAATTTTTGTCAAAGAAATCAATCTTTTCCTGATAGAATTCCATAATACCTCGAATATCACGTAATCTTCCTAAAGTCAAAATCATCGAATTTAATAATGATTTTGGTAATATTATTGTTTTTGGTTTAGAAAATATCCCTTCAATTAATCTCCAAGTATATGATCGATCTATCGTGTTTGTATGATTTTGAATCGAATCAAATAAATTTTTATACAACAATTTTTTTGGTTCCAAGTTTTTCTCCCACATCATTTCTAATATTCTCATTGATCTTGAATTATCTCCATTCATTATGCAATATTTCAATAAATTATTATAAATTCCTAATGAAATTTCTCCCTTTGAAATCCGATGAAATCTTAAAAAGTAATCAAAACATTTTGACATTCTTATAGTTGAATCATTATTCTCATCGAAAGAAAGTTGTGTACAACAAATCTTTATAATCCTCTCTTGTAATTGCCTGTTGTTGCATAAACCATATTTTAATATCTTGGTCCAAATAACTTCCAATTCTTCATAACTTTTACAATGTTGTAATAAAATTAGAAATGTTTTACCGTTTGGTCCAACTTTCCAATATGACATTAAATCAAGAATCATATTTACATTTGCTTTTATACTTGGATCCTCCGAAGAAATGCATGCTTGTAAAAGAGAATTTAAAGTTTCCGAATTGGTTTTTTCACCTTTTGATATAATTTTCTCTAAAAATTCAAAACATTCATATGGAACATTTGCTTTTGCTGCGGATTTTATTAGTGTTGAATATGTTTGAACATTAGGCAAGGTGCCATATTGGCACATCGTCCTATACACTTAATTAAAAATTAAAACAATTAATCTATGAAAATAGTTAAGGAACGAAAGTAAGCACCCAATTTCCCTTTATACTTACTACCAATAACTTCCTCAGGTCGTCCCTTATCAGCGTATATTTTAAACATAACATTCCAAACTTTAATAACAAGAGCGCCAAGTAAATACTTTCTTGTGCTCATATCAACATCATAAATAAATCTGGCAAAGATAATGTTAACTAAATCTAATCTATCATATTTAGCACATTGACGTAATAAATAAGAAATTAAATTCAAATAAAATGGTTTAGTAGAATACAATGAATTAAAATTTATATAAAATGATAAAATTTGTGATGACGTTAAATAAGTCAATGTGTTTCTTGTTATCATTTCATTAATTAATCCAATTGCCTACAGGAAAATAAAATATTAATATTAACAAATTTAACAGATTTGGAAGGAAAAAAAAAAAAAATTTGACAAACCTTACTTTCACTACTTCTTTTTGCGATTTTAATTTAATTTTTTCTTTATCAATTCTCTGATTTATTTTAACATCATCAAATTGTTTGCGTAATGCTTGAATAAATGCATTTTTATTTGGTAATGAATTAGAAGAACTATGTTTAGTTTGATATTGTTTATAATATAATTGACCAGTATTACTAGTTTGTTCCACGATACTTGGATAACAACGACAACTTGCCGCGTTAAAATGACGAGTATATAAAAGTTGCGAAGGTTGAAATTGAATATATTGTCGTGTTGGTTGAAATATTTTGACTTCGAACAACAAGGTGCGTATGTTAAGACTATTCATTTCGTTAAAAACAAAAAAAGGTTGAAAAGCATAAAAGATTATCGAAATTTTTTTTTGATAAATCAATATCGATCACATGACATCATTAGTTGTACCAAATTTTATTGAATAAAAAAAAACCAAAAAAACTTGCAAAAATCGATATTTTTTTTTATTTTTTTTTTTTTGAGCGTAATTGTTCTCTTGTGAGTTAAAGAGCCTATCGACTTTTGCGACAAAAAGAAAAAATTCGAAAATAAATTAGGTAAACATTTAAATTCTAAATGAGAAGGGATGGTTGGTGAAGTTGATATTTTGATATTGGATACAAAGTTTCATATATTAAGAAAATTAATTGACAAAACACTTAAAAATATTTTTGAAATTATAAACAACTTTAGTTTTGATCTCATTTCATCAGGAATTATGAAGCACCTAGCCGCTTATTTGTTATTAGAACTCGCTGGTAAAACACCCAACGATAAAAGTATCAAATCTCTTCTTGAATCTGTCGGTATCGAAGCTGATGATAATAAAATTAAAAAATTGCTCAATGAATTAAAAGACAAAAATTCCGAAGAGGTATGTTATTTATTATAATTGTAACTCTTTTTAAAATGATTTCTTCATATAAATGCTAACCTATTTAATTAATCTATTATTTGAATTCATGAAAAAAAATGATAGTTGATCGCCTCAGGATTATCGAAATTAGCATCTGTACCTACAGGTGGTGGTGGTGGTGCTGTTGGTAGTGGTGCTGCAACTGGTGGTGCCGCTGCCGCTGAAGCTCCTCCCGCTGAAGAAGCCAAAGTAGAAGAAAAGGAAGAATCTGATGATGTACTGTATATCTCTTTTAAGCCATTTTTTTTTTTTTTGGTTAAATCTTTGAATATCTAATCTTAATGTTTTTTTTTTTCCTAAAACTAAAAAGGATATGGGATTCGGTCTTTTTGATTAAGAAAATGATCTGGCTATTAACTTTCTGGTTTTGACGTTAAAATTGTATTTTCAAATGGTTTATTTAAGAAATAAAATAAAATGAAATTTTCATGATACCATAACATTCTTTGAAGTAGTCCTGGATTAAAAATAATATGTTTTGTTGTATTGCTAGTCAAAATGCAATCAGACTCTGTAATGTTGAACCTTGTCCGAAATGACATAATCCAAAGTAATCATTAATTGATTCTGGACTTGGTGGATTTTATAATCCAGTGATGCATAGTCTCAAATGTTTCAAAATCATCGATTCATTCTTGAACCAGTTACGTTTTAATTAGGAATAGTCGAAATTTTTTGAATGATGGCAATTATTTTAAACATAGTTTTCTATATAACAATCGTTCCAGCTATAATATTAACTACATATTAATATAAATATTAAATTGAATTTTCTTACAGTTGTAATTATTCATATACGGATATTTCAAAATTCGGATAAATTCCTATAAGATATAGATGATGCCAACGTATTGCTCTGGATAATCACTGAAAAAATGGTATTTTTGACTCTTCTGTTCCATCTATATATATGGAAGAAAATCCGTATAATTTTTATGCTTCTTTCAAACTTAAATCTTCTTAGTCAAATATAATATTTTAAAATTGATATTTTTTTTTTATAGGTTTAACAATTTTTTAATTTTAAATTAAAATGTTATTATATATTATCTAAAGGAAAAAAAAACATTTGAAAGTTGTTGTCCGGAGCAGGGACAATGATTTATTGTGATCACAGAATTTCACAGAAAATCACAAAATTTGGTTCGTTTTTGGCCTAATTTAGGATTTGACAATCATTGTAATTCCGGTAAGCACTAAATTTGGGCAGAATTTACGAGTCGTAATGTTGGCCAACCTTGCTTAAATCCGGCCAAATCACAAAATTTCACAGAATTTATTTTTATTACACACAAAATTTACTTTATATCACCACAAAGACTCTTTCCGTCAATCATCAAAACCAAAAATGACTGGAAAAAAAACGCTCGTAATAACAACTCCAAACCTAACCAAGTTCGCTTCTCTCCTATGGAAAACGACCAACAACAACAACGCCCAGCTAAGAAACAACATATTGAACAACCAAAACAAATGGAAACTTCAAATGCCTCTGGAAGTAACTCCAACAGCCTTATAGACATGGAAGTTGAAACTTCGCTTCCCAAAACTTTAGACAAAGGAAAAGACCCTGAAACTTCCGACATTAATACCAACATCCCCCTTGACGAGGACCAAGCCTTTGATGCCTCTGAAAATGGCTTCAACAACAAACAAAATGATAAAAATGAAATCCACTTAGAATGCGAAACTGAAGCCCCGATTTACTTCGCTTACTGCGCCGCAGATAAGTTTTATCCCAGAAAATCTAATAGAGAAAAACAAAATGAAGCATGTGATTTATTTGCATCACACTACTCGTCTTTCATTGGTGCATCAATTCGTACTCACCCTGAGGACTCAACAAAGAAAATCATCTGAATTGGTTTTACATCATATGCTGAAGCAAATAATGCAATTGCACTTAAATTTCCATGTTTGGAAAATAACACGTTTTTACCCCTCACAATCAAACCAATAGCTAAGTACATCCCTGAGTTATCGATCTGTCTTACTGAGATCCTGATCTCTACCACTGAATCAAACATTAGATCGACCTTTTCCTTTTTTGGAAAGATCTCCTGTTGCGTCATGTTTACTAAAAACCTTTGGCAGTAAGCTACCCTCACATTTGAACAAGACACAGATATAACTACCCTGAACAAACTTAACAGCTATTTTGTCCTTAAAGACTTAGTCAGAGTCCACCCATGTACTATGTCAGTCGAAGACGTCAGAAAAAAATCAGAATTTTCATTGAAACTAACTAACCTCTCACTTGACACAAATAGGCGCTATTTAATCTCTATCGGCAATGTCATTGAAGCAATTGCCTGGGTCATTCCCAAATCACGTGCTAACTACAGAAACTTACAATACGCTATCTTCTATTTTAAAACCAAAGAATCTATAGAAGCAGCAAAAAATGGAGAAACTTACTTTCTTGATAGAAAACGATTAATTTGGACTGATTCTAATGCAAAACTTTACTTCACCTATCAAATCCCAGGACATCAATTGCAGAATTATCATAAAAATCGTTCAGCTCCATAAGATCAACAAACCTAACATTTATATCAACGCTACCAACCTGCACAATTTTGTAATTATAAAGCACCCGTCGTTGTGCCCAGACTACCAACTCACCCTAAAAAACAACAAAATACAGAAAAACTTAAACTGAGCCAACAACATAACAATACCATTGATAAACCTAAACCCAACAATAGTATCACTCTGCTTAATAATCAGACAACACCTCCTAAGATCAAACCATCAAATGATGATCGAAACCTGCAACGTACCAATCCAATCCATCCTATCAATGATAAAGGAGAACAAACACTTGATGCTAGTATACATGCATCACATCGCTGGGCTGATGATACATTAGACGAATTTGTATGCCGTATGTTACTCCAAACTAACCATCCCAACTAGAATTACTCATTCAGATTTCCAATCAACTGATAGCTATCTCTGAGTAACTTGCTAAAATGGAGTCAGACTTCCATTCGACTGTAAATCGAGTTGCTATGGTTGAAAAAGTCCTTAATATTAACATCTTACTCCCCCATCAAGCAGAGTTACTTAACAAATCTTTTAACGAAGATGGTATGGAAACTGAAGAACATACTTATGTAGCTGATCCCTATACAAAAGACAATATTGTCGCTAAACAATTTGCTGAACTTATTACCTTGAGAGATGAAAACACCACTACTTAAAACCAACCTTGAAAATAATATGACCAAACTCAATAATGCAGAACGTGTCATCGCTAATATGCAATGAATTCTACAAACACAACTTCAAATCAATCCAGATGCCTTTACTGCTATTGAAGAAGTTGCTCCCCCTTCTAGCTATAAAAAAACAGTTAACGGTGTCTTTATTCCCCTACCCCTAAATATTTTTAATGATTGATAATTCACAGAATTTTAAACGAGTTAGCCCTAGTGACCCGATATCAAGTAAAAAAATAACAACTATTAACAATACCCATAATTTATTTTCAACTAACAATACATTATTTTCTCAGCTCAACATTGCGACACACAATGTTCACTCTTTCGTTCAACCACAAAAACAACAATTTCTACTCAATACTTACAATATTAATCACTTAAATATAATAGGTCTTCAAGAGATAAACTTTAAATCAACTAATAATACTGTATCATTTTCAAAATCAACTTTGTCACAATACTCGCATTTCTTCAATTTTGATCAACAAGTACAGAATTCAGGTTTCAGAGTTGGCCTTCTTATCAAGAAAAATATTGCTGATCATATTTACAAACATCACGAACAACATGGTCATTATATTTTCGTCGATTTTCAATTTCGCAACAAATTCCGCATCAGATTGATTAATTGCTACATTTCAAGCTCAAATATAGCCCTTCGAGAACAAACATACAAAGATATATGTAACGTCATTAAATCAGCGAAAGACCTCAACATGGAAATTATTTTACTAGGAGACCTAAATGCAGTCCCAGACCGTTCTAATAATATGTCAAAAGCTAATCATTTCTTCACCCAACTAGAAGACTTCCAACTTTTCAATTCTTTTGATCTTTTACATGATAATGCTAATCAACTATTCCCATCATTTTTTCACATTGCACATCATCAACCCTCAAGAATTAATCATATTTACACATTATCACATATTGCTGCAGGCCTTAATAAATCCCAAACCATTGATGTTGATCCCAACATTTCTGACCATTCGATAGTCTCCATCAATGTGAATATAGCTGAACTTACCTCTTCAAATAATGATTAAAAATATACAAAAAAGAAGATTTACCTTTATGATGACATGGATGATAACTCTTGAACACAATTTGGTAAAAAATGGATGGTTTTCTCAGAAGCTGTCAACTATCCAACCTCTCTTCTAATAGATT